GAGCTTATTGGATTTATCTCGACTAAACATTTGATTTTATTATAAGCATGCAATATGGAGATCATTTGATTCGTCAAATGCCCTAAAGTTTTCAAATATACTTTAAGTGTTTCATTTGGGTTCAATTAGACTTTAATTGTACAACCTTTGATGTTCTTGGATTCACTTGTTGAGACATTTAAAAAGTTTGTTAAAAATGAAAATGGGATGGTCATGAATTTAATTCTAAATATTTTAAATATAAAATAATACATCGAGATTTGTGATGATCGAGTGAACTTTTTAGAGATATCAACCTTTTTTTATTTAAGTCTTAAATTAATGCTTTGTGGTCTCAAATATAGTTCAACAAAATTTCTTCAAATATATTTGAATCCAATTGGACATTTAGCCCTATAATAAAAATTCTCAATTGCTTAAGCTTAATTTTTTAGGAATATTTGCACAAATTTTAGGTAGAATTTAAGATAAATCTTACTAAATGATCATCATTTTTAATCACACATAATCTTAAATCTCGTTTCTCTTTAGTTTTGTCTTAAATTTTAAATTTAGTAACTCTGACATTGGGCGAATTTAATAAATCTGTAAGTATCGCGCCCTTTTCTACTTCGCATGTCGTTGCTCTTATTGATGTTTTCTCTAACAAGCTTTGATCGGGATATCCAAAACTTTGTTATCATTAAGGTTTTGAGAATCTGGGGGAGAAAACTGACGGTTTTATATTTGATAAGATATATGAAATAAAAATAATTCAATTAGATATATTAAAAAACTTTTTAATTAATTTTGATTAATATTAATTAACTAGAAAGATATTCATTTAAATAAATTAGTATTAATTATGATTTAATTGAATTAAATAGTTTTTATTATGCTTTTTAATACATGAATAGATTTTTTGTCAAGAATTTCCAATTGTTTCAGAATGTAATTAAAAATAAATTAATTTTTCATTATAAAGCCACTCATGTAAAACAATACATTTCAAAGCTAATTAATTCTATAAGATTTATTATTTTTATTAGTTTAATTCTCATATTATAATTAATGAAATTTATTAAACTTAATAAAATAAAATAATATAAATTGTCATTATTTTTCCTAAGCCTCATGGTGTTCAGATTTTTGAGATTTCAAGTTTCTATTTCTCTCTCTTCTCATTATGATGCACATTGGAAACTTCTATGAGCAGCCCTCTACTTAAAAATTTTGATACCTAATATGTTATCACCATAACATCTTAGCCGCCGGTTTCGAGTCGTCATGGTGTTTCGAGCTAATGAAATTGAAGGTTATTTGGATGTTATCATAACTCTTTCTTGTCGAAAAACAACTAAAATGTTGGAGAGATTATTTATAGTCCTAATTATTCTACTTGGATGTTAATTGGTTGATCAAAATTTGACAACCGCATCATTGATGTCTTATATTTTGAACCTTGCTTGATTCATGCGTTGAAATTTAGAAAATTATTGATAAAAGATTGCAATATCACTAGTAATAAATCGGACTTCCGCAAAACTTTTTATGGTCTATTATAGCGGTTTAAACACCGATTTAAACACCAACTAATTCCTTCAAATCTATTGTAATAGAATTCACCAAAAAGGATTTTGCATCGATTTCTCATTAGCGCTGCTATAAGAAGTCTTTAGCAGCATTTTTAGCATGGGATGTTTCAATGGTCGTGGTTTGATAATGATGGTGAGATTTTTGTTAAGCAATTGTTTGACATTGATGGTCATGGGATGTTTCAATGGTGGTGATTGGGTGAAGGTCGAGTAGTGCATGGACCAATGGAGCTTCATGATGTTTCATTGTTTGAGCTCTCTAAATCTCAATCTAAGGGTTCTATCCCACTTCATATAGAGATTTTGAGCTTATTTATAAGTTTTTGAGGTGACATATCCATAATATTTGATTTGGCTTCAAGCATGGGAGATTTTTTATTTATCTCATAGAAATATTTGATTTGACTTCAAGCATGTGAGATTTAAAAATCATATAGTTATCTAATTAAAACATTAAAGCTTTCAACTATACTTCAAATGTTTGATTTGAGCTCATATGAACTTAAATCGGATCACTTTTGATACTAATGGCTTCATCTAATATGGATGTTTAATTTGAATATAAATTTGTTAAAATTAGAGTTCAGATAGTTCTATTTTATGTTTAATTTTTAAAATTCTCAGTTCGAATATGCATTTAAATTTGTGTCAAATCAAGCCAATTTCTTACGATGTATCACTAGCTAGCATATCTTTTTTTTTTTTTTTTTTTGGACATTTAGGCTAGTTAAGGTAGACTCATACACATATCACATATATAAAACTCGAACCCAAGACCTCTTAGTTGATAGTCTAAGCTCCAAATTAATAGATCAAGATGCTAGCCAGCAAATCTTGGAAAAGGGGTTGCAATCAATAATAACTAAAATACCTACTCTTGAAACTTGAATCATAATATGGAATTTGGGGTATTCCAATATGATTTGCAATATGCTTGATTTACATAGGAACAACACATTAAGATGAAGAGTACCACAAACTTCAAATCATAAATTTCTAGCCTATTTTCATTATTTACTCTCAATTAAGTTTGGGCTTTTTGAGGTTCAAGAAGGCCAAATTTGAAAAATTGTTCTTCAATAAGTTATAAATTTTGTAGATCTAAGGAAAATTAAGTACTCCTAAATGAAATTTAGATTAGTAATGATAATAATATTATCTATGTATAAAAGCTATCACAAATATATTCGAAACATTTTAATAAAAAAAGAGAACTATGCTAGTAAATTATGTGTCAGCTATTAACCGATATAATATAGGGGTGCAAACAAGACGAGTCGAGTTCGACCACGAGCAAGGGGTGTTAGAGCTGAGCTTGACTATTTATTATATGATTATTTAGGTAATTTGTCCAACTTCATTTATTTTTTGTATTTTTTAGGCAACTGCCCCCCACCCCTAAAAGTTTTAAAATATTACGATCTTTAGGAAATTACCCCTAACATAAATTTAAAAATATCCTTACAACCAAAATTTGTTATGGGGGCACTGCCCCGAAAACCCCCTGTAGGGGCGCTGCCCCTTGATCCGGCAACCTAACCTGGCAGGTCGAACCCTGCTAGGGGGCGCTGCTCCCTTGGACCCCCGACATATTTGTGAAGCTTACAATGATCAAAGATATGAACAATAAGGGGTCGAGCCTACTTCAAAGCAAATAAAAATCTCTACAATTTTTGTCCCTTAGAAAATTATGGGTGAATCCACCCCTACTCACAAATAGGGATGAAGCCATAAAATTTTTATATGGGGGCATAAATTAATATTAATCATTAAATTACTCTCAATAATATAATTTTTATTTAATGTAATTACAGATCATAAGATATATTTTTAACAAAAAATTATAAATTATATATTTAAATTAATTAAATTAGTATAA